GTAGACGCGGTTTCCGGTGAAGGGAGGAAAGGTGCAGAGTGAGATGCAAAGAGACGGAAGTGAGAGAGACGGGGAAAAATAAGAGGGGACCGATGAGGGTGGAAAAAGTGCAGTGTGGATGATGAGATGGGATTTGCTAGCTTGGGAAGCAAAGGCAAATGCAAACGCAGCTGGCGGGTTCCAGGCTCCCTGAGATAGGAAGGACGATGGGACAAACAAGACGAGACTCGAGACCACAGTTTAGGATTTACTGGGTAGAATTGGTGCAACAGCAGAGAGGCAGAAACGAAAGTTAATTCGACTTGCGTAGGCACGGCAGCAGCTCGAGTTGTCATGGATTTGTATTTTAATTATTAGAATCTGCGGGTGGTGGCCAGGTACACACACAAGTCAAAAACAGGGCACGCCAGACGCGGCGGTTTTTGCATGGAGAGTTGCCCTTTGGCGTTTGGGAGGGGTTTTCTGTTAATAATTGAATCGTCGCCGGCGGCCACGGGCACTCGTACACGAACCCACGAGCCCACGAGGGTTGAACAGCTCATTTGCAAGCTCGAGCACGTTGCGTTTTTCCCGCCGTCTTTGATGCAAGCGCAGCAACTGGGGCCCCATCGAGCGGAAACACCAGCCATCAACCCATCCATGAGGGGCCGCAACCCGGAAGCGTGCCCGTGTTGCAGCAAGTTGCTGGCTGGCTGGCTGGGCCGGGCCTGGGCTGTTATTGCTGACTAGGCCAAGGATGACGGGGACGGGGACGGGAGGACATGGATATGAGCATGGCAGCATGAGGGATGGAGACTCGTCAGAGACGTAGGGAGGTAGCACGGGGATGGAGTCATACGGTACATGGCTAATGAGAGTGACTTTGAGAGTGGGAGTGAGCATGATTGATGTGATGTGGTGGAAGAATCGAGTAAGAGGAGGAGGAGGAGGAGGAGGACGATGTGGTGGTAGTGGAGGGGATACCAGAGACATGAGTGGTGCAAGCAACGGATACCTCAACCGACACGCAGTCAGGGAGGGAGCACGTGTACCTGGAATAATACGGCGTGCAGTTCAAGAGAGTAAGGTAGGTACTCTGCGATTAGAGGGCCTGCCTTACTCGGGCAGTCCAGTTTCCTGCACGCAACCGTAAGGTAAGGTACCGACGGCCGTACCGTCCGTACGGTGTACCTACATTTAGTACGGAAACCTCAGGGCTCTCGACCGTCGGGGGATCGAGGACATGCTCGCTGAATCGGCCTTTTACCGGGACGTCCCCAGGCCCGCCATCCACTGTAGTTTTCTCTCGACTGTTCCCGCCAGCTCCAAGGTTGGGCTTATTATGTAAGAGCTTGACTCCTGTTGGCTGGGACATTCTGTTACCCAGTTGCTCTTACCTACAGCTAAACGTTGTTTTGCTGCTTGGAGGACTTTTCACCGTGTGCTCTTGCCATTTGTCCCCATTCTTTGTGCATTGCTGCTGCTTCAGAAAAATTTTCCTTATCTTTGCTGATTTTTTTTTGTCCCTCTCTCTCTGTTCCCCATGTCCCCTTCCCCTCGACGCAAGTAGACTGCAGTTTACCCCCCCGTACCTTACCCTTCCCTTCCAAGGCCGGCCTGCTTGTGCCTCACCCCGTGCTACTTTTGCAACCAATGCCAACCTTGCAAGACCACCAGAGTGTCGGCTACCTTGCCTCAAAAAAGGTACAGTATCCTGCGGACCTGGTGGGTGCCGCATGTGTTGTACCCGTCCGATCGAGATACCTGCTCGGGTACATGAGAAGCATCTGGCAGTGACCAGTCTGCCTCCACAGCACGCGACGGACGACGTCTTACGCCATCTTGCACACGCCGCAACCGCAAATTGACTCAGTCCTCCGATTCTTCACCGACGAGATGACCGCCGGCTGGCCAGAGACACGAATCCTGACGGAGGGTGCTCGAGCGGCGTTGCCATCACATCAGACCGAGACATCCGCCTGTCGCCTGTCGCCTGTGCCTCTCTGCGCAATTTCGCGGCAAGTCGTCACCCGGCCCAGGGCACTGACGATGATCCCGATAAGACACGACGGATGCACCTTGATAACCTCCCGTCCTCCTATCCCACCAGTGCACCTCCCGCAAAGGGCACAGGGCACAGGGCATGGCACGGGTCGTTTTATTTAAGCACTATCGCTCCGGTCAACCCCCGGCGCAAATCAGGGTCTCCACACCTTGCCAATTGGCTCGCCGCCGTCGACGTCGAACGGTGATCGGAGTCCATCCCGATGCCACAATCCTCCGAGGCGCGTGCAAACTTTTTCTGGCAACAAGAGTCTCCACACTCCGGAACGTGATGGACAGAAATCTGCGCGGCCCACGTTGAATGTTGGCCTTGACCTAGAGTACCTACGGTGGTATACAACTCTGCCTCCCACCATACGCGCACGGCACCGCGGTACCTCTCCACGCAGCGGACGATGGCACCCTACGGAGCCGTCTCCGTATATGCATTGCGCGGTTTCACCATCTACGACCTCATTCTGCACAAATTCTGAGGTCATCGCTGAAGGGAATGCCTCCACAGCGGTGTTCTTCTCGTCGCAAGGTACACTACATACATACATGCGGGTAGTATATGAAAGTCACGGGCGTGGACCCATTCGTTCAGTCGCAGCACCGGTGGTGTCCCCAGGTGTACACGGCCGGCCCCACTCCCGGCTCTCAGGCGAAAGACGTGGAAGCACCGAAATATCGCAATCCTGGCCTGCGATGGGGAAATTCAGCTCAAAGTCAGATATGTCCAACCCGCACTCTTTCACGATGCAGCGGACGCGAACCCCAGGCTCTAGCCTCATCTTCTGCAGGTCTCAGATTAGCCTCTGGCTCAACGACTAGTGTCGCCCTCGCACCGGCAGCAGCGTCTGTTTCTTCCAGGTATTACCCAGCACCAAACCGCGCGCCGCCGTCTATTTTGTGTCCCAGGCCCTTCATGCACGTCGGCTACAGAAGGATCAAATTCCTGGCCTACGGGCTACATGGAGGCGCACCAGACGCCAGGCCGATTCGTCCCAGCTGCCTCACGTCAATCGTGCCATTGGGTGCTCGAACGCCATCATTGCCGGCCAAGATGCTGCTGAATGGTGCGCAGCATGCACTACATCGGAAATGGACGGAAACCAACAACACCTGCATCTAAAGCGAGACATGCGTTGACATCGACGGGAGACTCTGCCGTCCACAGTCGACGACTTCTTGGATATCTGGAGACGTCAACGACTTGGTTTGCAGAGACATTGCATTGAAGTTGAGCAGTTTGTAAACCTAGAAGAGGGCCCAGACAAAGTCGCAACATTCAAACGCATCTCAGCGGGGCATCCACATCGCGGAGGATGAGGCAAGGCGGAACCTGCGGCGGTGCCGCCGCTGCTGAAAGTCCAGACGTGCAGCTGCTGCGACCGTTCTTCCACACACACACATCCCATCACCAGCGATCCGGCCCGCCGCCTTGGGACGACAGACAATTACCCGCCCATTTCAATCCCCTAAAGTGCTCCTAGGCAAATCCCGAGGGGCGAGACATGGCGAAATGAAGGCTGGCGGACAAAGATAAGCACATCTCAAACCCGGCTAATGGGAAACTGCCCAGCTCTGTAATTGGATTGACAAACAAAGACAGAAACAAGAAGCTCGGGCGACGACGCGCCAATGGCAGGTCAAACCATCGCGCAATGCCGACCTTGCTAGCACCGCATTCTTTCCATTACGTACAAATGGACCCAGCTAAACGTCCAAAACGCCGTGCATGCCGTCATCCACCAAGCCGACTGGCCTTCCGTCTGCTCATATGCCAACGTTTCCCCCTCACCGTCGAAGCGGGCATCTCCGCGGAGGTGTATGCCACACGCCCAAAACGAGGGCACCACGAGATATTGCGCCGCAAGCTTTGTGTAGCCAAGCTGCGGTTGTGTCGTTGAACAGAGGATGGAATGATCCATACGCAACACACCATTTGTGAACATGACTTTTCTACCGCTCAGCAGCCAGCCTCATTCTGGGAATGGGAGGGCCACCAGCTCCAGCATGTTGCTGCTCCGGATGCTGGTCTAATGCAAACAGGGCCCGCTTCGCTGCCGTCAATTTGCGGATTTTGCGGGGAAGATGGCCCATGCCTTGTAGGGCACCGTCGTACGGATGCGCCAGCTTTTGCATGTCGGAACGACGCTTCCCCTACACCAAGGCTATGGAGACGACGCCGACGAGACGCAGGTTGTGTGCAAAGGAACAGAAACGCCGGGAAACCACCATGGCCGCCCGACCGACCTCGTGCTCATCGTCTGCGGTTCCGTTAGGCTCGCCGCGCCCCCTTCGCCGCCGGCCGCATCGCAAGGGTGGGCCACCGGGCTTTTACGTCACAGTTTCGATCCTGTCTCGCTCGTTGGGAAAGACCCCTCGTCACGGAAGCAAGCGCAGGGTCCGATTCCCCGGAGGACGGCCGCCGCCCTCGCACGCCATCGGTCCAGCCAGCTTTTGGTTTGGGGGGGCTTTTTGGGGGGGCAAAAGCCGAGAGAACCCAAACAGCAAGAAATCCGGGGTCACGGCGTCTATTGCTATCAAGAGCCCCTACCTGGGAGTCAACTTTCGAGTCACCTGAGCAGACTCATTTTGGTATCCCTGCCGCTGGTCTGGTGGTCAAGCTCTTTCCCCCACGGGCCCATCTTCGCTGTGGGCACCGACATCGCGTGTTGAGGGATTCAAAAGGTCCCCAGCGTGTGCTTCTCCACCCGGCCAAACTGTTGTTCTCGCCAGGCCCGGAGGACAGAAGCAGCTCGCGGAGCCGCAGCCCCATGTACCTGCCCCGGCCAGGCTCCTGTTTGCTCGAGAAGGTGTGCGTACATGCAGACGAAACGCGCGTAGGTGGTAGGTTCAGCTCCATCAGCTGCCGAGCCCGCCCTGGCAGCGGCATATGGTGCGTGGCCGTGAAAATATGCAAACCCTTGTAGCTCATTGTAGAAAACGGCATAGGACGTTCCTCTGACCCCTCAACCTTGTTGTCCCACGTTCGGGTCCCAAGCCCCGGCAGCCGAGAAGTCAAAGTCGTTGGGGAGCGGTCCTCGGTCGAACCACGGCGTCGTCTGGGCCGCGTCGAAGTCGCCGATGGGGTCGTTGTTGGTTTGGCCCATGATGTTATCAAAGTAGCGCTGTTCCAGGTTAGGAAGCTGTCTCCTGGCAGACGCCTGCCTCTGCTGGATGAAGACTTACCCAGTCCATTTCGTTGCCAACCTCGATCCATCCACGGTCGAGCGTAGCAGAGTCGCTCGATCCCAAGCCCGGGCTGACAAAGCTCAGGGGCTGGAAGTGATTGGTCACCTGGTTCGTGACGCTTGAAGGAAACGATGCCGCGTCTATCACAGGAAGTTAGCCATTTTATAGAAGACACTCTACGTGTGAAGAAGTCAAGAAAGTCCTTACCGCTGAGTGAAAGATTCGTAAGGAGCTGCGCGTCGCGGCTGGACAGCGTCCCCGATGTCCCCGTCCCCTCGCTCCGCTGCACCGAAGCCGGCTGCCGCACGCCGTCCTCCTTCGGCGGCGAACTGGGCGGCGAGCCTAGCTTACCCAACATCGTCTCCAACACGTCCGCCGTCTTCTTGATCTCGGGCACGTCCGCGGCGATGCTGACCCAGACAGAATAAGACCGCTGCAGGAGATGCAGGAGGTGCTCCTTCGTGGGCCTGGGACTCATCTTGTCCATCCACTCAGGCAGAAACTCGCCGCCCTCCTGCCAGAACTGCTCGTGCCCGACAGCGAGGTACAGAATGATGGCCGCGAGCAGGAAGTCGTGCACGGCCAGCGACGAGACGAACCACCCGTTCTGGGCGAGCATGTTGCCCGGCCGGCAGGCGTGCCATATCGTGTTCTGGAACTCGAGCAGCGTCATGGCGCCCTCGAGGCACTGCCAGCGCGAGTAGTCGTGCTCCCTCTTGGGCACCGGCTCGAGGAGGAAACGGCGGTGTAGGACGCACCTGCTCTTGTTGTACAGCGACGCCAGACCGAAGCGCTGGATGACCTGCATCGCGGGCGTGGTGACGCACTGCTCGAGCGGCTTGACCATCATGAACTGCGGCACGGCGCGCCAGGTGTCGTTGAGCAGGCCGTCGAGGCGCATGACCTCGGCATAGGGCGGCGGGGCGAGCAGGTGCGCCTGGCGCGCGACCTGGCCGAAGACGCGCATCAGGGAGGACTTGGTGATGGGGTACGTCATCTCGGTGTAGTCGGTCATGGGCCGCGGCGGGGGCAGCTCGGGGGTGTGCTCGTCAAAGTCCTCGTCGACGAGGTTGCGGGGGAGGTCGACGTCGCTGTCGATGCCGTTGAGCATGCTGGGCAGGCCCATGTGGAAGGAGACGAGGAGGTCCATCTGGACGGCCATGTTCCACATGCGGCGGCGCATCTCGCCCTCGAAGGCGGAGATGTTTGTCAGCTTGGAGGGCTCGCGGTGCAGGCCCATCTTGAGGAGGAGGCGGAGGCAGACGGAGGAGAGGAGGTAGCAGTTCATCTGGGCGGCGCGGGAGATGATGAACTCGGCCTCGACGTAGAGGATGAAGGGCGGGATCGTGCCGATGGAGGGCTGGGTGTACTTGCCCCAGACGAGGCACCACGCGGCGGCGGCGCGGAAGAGCTTGAAGCGGTCCATGGGCGGGAGCGGGGAGTCGGAAGTGAGCTCGTGCGGGGCGAGGAAGGTCGAGTAGAAGACGCCGAGGGACATGATCATGAAGAGGAGGGCGAGCCAGTTGAGAGAGATTACGGAGGGGTTCTTCCAGAAGTTGGCGTACTGCGGGGTTGGTTAGCACCATCATGGTTTAGGAGGTTTGATGACGAACCTGTTTGACAAACGTTGGCCTGTGGACGATGTCTGCTCTGTGTTAGTGATCTTATATGGGGTATACACTTGATAGAGAATTGCTCACGTTGAGAAGGGCTTTGAGAGGAAAAGTATCTCATGACGAGACGGTCGACAATCTTCTTCTCAGGGATGAGCCTCATCAGGTCTTCCCGGTTACGAGGCATGTTCCTCGAAAAGAGCAACACATCCGGCGACTCGAGTTCATCGGTCTGATCAGGGCTGTCGCCACTCCACTCTTCATTCACCTCAGGCTCCTCAAAATAATTCTTCATGTCCTCGATCTGGATCCCGTCTGTTAGTCTCTCACTCTCATCGCTACGATCCCACCGGCCAAGACCAGCAGGGCGACTTACATCGTCAAGAATTGCCGCGAAATGCGTAGCCCCGACATATGTCGTCGAGCTCTCCCCCTGAACGAACTGGCCACCGGGCTGCGCGACGCCCTCCTCCCTGGCCGTCGTCGGCGTGGCACCCTGCGGGAGCGAGGCACCATCATCCATCATCGTCCGCACCATGCCCTCCAGCCGTTTAAGCCGGGCCGCCATGCCCTTGGTGGGCTTTTGCTTCTGGGGCTTGGGGGCGTAGACGCACCCCTCCGGACGGGACTTCTTGAGGCACTGCCCGCAGGGTTCGGAGCGGTCACATTTCAGCTTGGACGTGCGGCATGGGCCGCATGAGAGGAGCACGCGGGAACGCTTGGTGGGAGCGCCGTTGCCGTTGCCGTTGCCGGTTTGGGGATTTGAGCCGCCGTCGCTGTTGCTTTCCCCGTGAGGACTCGTCTCGGGTTCCATCTTGTGTGTTGATCTTTTGGGATGGGTGGGGGGTTAGAGGGGGAATTTCACGGAGTTCAATTCCGTGACGAAGGTTCCGGGCCGGGTCTGTGTGGTTGAACGTTGGCCGGATCCGGAAAGTGTGTGGATGTTGACGGGCCGGAGGTCACGTAAAAGTGCAGTGGGCAGGATTGGACTGTTTGGCTGTGTCTGGACAGGGCTCAGATATCTGCAGGATAGGAGGAATCGGTATCAGTATCTTTTGTTTCTCTGGAAGGATCACATCCCTCCATGACTAGGCAACGGTTTTGGCGCTGCCATCCGTCGTCATTCACGGAGATATCCGGTTGTTAACGCCGAATGTCTAGAATTGCATCCGCCATAGTCGCGATGTACATTTTTAGGAGGCCAAATTCCATGACCATGTTATGCGTACTAGATTTGTGATGGAACCCAGGTCGAAAAACATCACGACCAACCAGACTTTTTTATGATCCCATTAAACCAACACAAATGACCCAACACAGATTCGCTTTTGATGTATGCGTTTCCCCAGCCTTTCCCTTTAGCATCTTCTTACTCCGGAGCACCAGGCAGTCTCTCGATCAGGTACTTTCCGCGGGCGCACTTCATGACTGTTGGATCTGTTAGCGTGTGTCCGCCTGAGGGACTGGAGCCGCGGGGCCACTCACTCGGGACTCCAGGAATCTTGCGTATACGCTGCTGCAAGCCACGATCGTTGGTTGCGACAATGTAGATTTTGTCTTTTTGAACACGGCTGATTAAGCAGTCGTCACCATAAGTTCCCTTGTGATCGCACTTGGCTCTCTGCCACCTCTCGTCGCGGGCAATACGCAGAGGGATACGGAACTTGGGTCCCAGCTTCTCCAACTCCGCCTGCAACCTGTTAGCACCCCGTAGATGAGCCTGAAGGTTCAGCGAGTATCACATACCATTACGCAGTCTGTAACAATCGGGTGGCACGTCGCTGGGAAAGATCAGCTCCTTGTCTTCCTACCCGAATCTGATTCCTCCCAAACTCACCGTATAAGCAGTCCATCATCGTCTCTAAGAGTGGCAATTTCATTTGCACGGTCCTTGAGAAAAATGAGGTATCTACCAGTACGCTGTACGGTGGCACGAGGGCCTCGTTATGCTGGAAGAACATATGAGACGGGACTTGTGGGATCTCGCGGACGATCTCGCCGTCAGCTCCTCTTCTCTCGCGCTTGGCCTTCTCGACGGCCTCCTCCGCCTTCTTCAGGTTCTCCTTGCGTCTCGCATCGTTCTTGCCAATCACTCGCTTGACCTGGTGGAAAAGACAGTCAGCATCGTGAAGTTGAAGAGCCACAGAGTTTCTTATCGATAAGGTGGTATTCCCCGGTCCAGGAGCTGCATGAGAAGTGAATAAGAAGGGGGCATACCTCAGCAAACTTCCTTGTCTTCTTCTGAACACCCATTGTGTGCTGCGCTCGTTGGGCGGCGAATGCGACAGCTGTGTGTGTAGTGTTGATTTTCACAAGGCTGAGCGAGGCTATCGGTGCAGCAAGTGCTCTATGGGTGTGGCGGGCGGACCAGTTGGAGAAAAAAGTTTTCGGTGTACAATCTTATCTCTCGGTGTACGATAGGGAAAGCAAGGTGAAAGGTGAAGGAAGGTCTGTGCTCTCGGAGGACCCAAGGGTCACGCTGGCGCATTTTTTTCAATATTGGCGGGGCCCGATCCCTGCCGGTGACAACCACCAAATCGAGGAGGCTGGTTACAGAGCACCAGCGCCAGTCGATCTCAGCTCTTCATCGTCCGAGTGCTTCATTCTGCTTCTTTCGCATCGACTTACAGTGCGCTCATAGGCATGTTCCGTCTTTGGACGTTCATAGAGAGAGAGAGACCTTGACAGAGCTGAGCCCCTCCAGCTCACGTCTTCAGCACCCGACCGAGGAGTGGACCGCAGTGGTGGGAATGAGGGTGGACGAATGACAGGGGCCTCCGGGGCGCCTTAGCGTTGCAATTGACTCCCCCGAAAAAGAAAGCGATCACTCATTTTCCGATGGGCGTCAGACTTTCGGGCGCGTGGTGCCTTGCAGCAAGATTGCAGTGCGTGTCCCGTGTGGTTTGCGGCTTACCCTACCTCATGCATAGCAGCAGCAGTGATGACCATTGATCTAAGAAATGGTTGACTGTCCAGGCACGGGACAGAGAGACATGGCGACGCGACGAAACGATAGGGGACTTTGTGTGGGGTGCCTGGCCATCATTCGCATTCCACGCAGTGGTTTCGCCATCTCGTCACATCATTTGACGATCCAATGCCAATGGCCCGGTTTTCGCGAGGATCACCTCCAGTCACCAGTGTCATCACTCGCCGTTGGCCGTTGGGTGGGCTTCTGCCAGGAACAGTGTGCGCTTACCCCGGACGAGGGCTCGTGTTGGGCGATGGAGTACGGATATTCGTGCGGAATGCAGCCACTGTAGCGCATGCTGAGGGCCGTTTATTAGTGGGATCCGCGCCTGATTGGCGATACGAGCGTCGTCCGGGACTTCCATGGGACGGTGCATCGATCAGCAGCGCACTGTATCGCTTCCCCAGAAACCCAGGCCATGCAGCCAGTGGCCATGCCTCGCATAGGTCCCTGCACTGTGCATGCAGGTCTCTGTCCAAGAAATTGGCCCAAGACCACAAGAATAAACAGAGCAGCCCGCGGGACACGACAGCACGTCAGAGCCTTCATTGCAGCAAGATGCGCCACACCACTTCTGAGTCTGGGAAAGGACCGCCCAGTCCAGGCAGTCCGCGCCATAACACGAACCTGCTTGCCCGCTGCTGTGTCCTGTGCCTTGACCTGTGGTTTGCCAGTGGCCTGTGTGTGCTGTGCGTGCTTGGTGCCGTTCCTCTAGTTCCTCTGGTTCGTTCCTCTGCATCGACAGGGAAAGACCCTTCCTCCTTTTTTCCCCAGGCTGCTTCCCTGTTGCCGACCCGCTGCTACTTACCCTCTCCCTCCCCTTCACGCACCCTCATCCCTCCCTCTCGTCTCCTGCTCCCTCATCCCTCTCCTCACAGTCCAGCTTCCGAAAGCCGCCCACACAGCCAGCCTTTCAGCCGGCCAAAGCAATGGTCTAGCCCACGACAGACCTCTTTTCATTCTTTCCCATCCCACGCTGTTCTGCAATTCCCACGATACCTTCGTTCGACTTGTCTGCAATCCCCGGTACATAGTGCGCACCATCTAGTCGACCGAAATTCCACCAAGCCAAACCGCGCCATCCGACCCAATCACGACGACGACGACAGCGCCTTCTATTTTCAATAGCTGAGCAACAAACACAGCCACACACACCAACAATCCTTGATCGACCGACACCTCGCAAACGTAGCCCTCCGTAAACGACCGTCGTTCATCATCTGCCTCGCTGTGTCCATCTCGCATCTTTCCTGCATTTCATCACAACCGCAAAACTTAAGGATCCGGCCATCATGGGTCCCTCGCGAGTCTCGCTGAAGCGCACGCTTCTCCTGTCCACATTCGCAGCCGTCTCGCTTTTCTCCGCAACAGGTCTGGCTCAGGATACCACTACGGGAGGAAACGCAGCGACAACGACGCAAGCCGCAGCAACGACAGCAACCACAGAAGCGAGCAAAACCTCAAACGCCGCCGCGGTCATCACCAACACCGGCACTGTTGAGACGACTGCTGAGAGCTTCTCCGCCCCCAGAATCACCGGGACCGCGACGTCGGCATCAGGAGATGACGCGACGGATTTCCCATCCCTCACCAATCAACCCCTCACCACGACTTACCCTCCTCCGACTGTGCCACCTACGAACAATGCACCGTTCATGCACCGTTCGAGCGCTCCTCAAGGAACCGTCTTCATCGCCGTTGGTGCCATCCTGGGTGCTTTCGGTCTTGGTATCCTCATCTGGCGCGGCATTGTCGCTTGCCTGTTGCACCGCTCCGTCGCTCGTGCTGCCAACGCTCAACATATCGCGAACGACAAGGCCAGCTTCCCCGCTCCTCCCGCGCAGTTCTACAAGTACACGGATCAAGAGTCTACGCCGTCTTTGAATGCGAACGGGCGCGGCGTGCGTAGAACGCAGCGCGGCCCCATTCCCTCTGCCACGCCTAGCCAGTCCAACCTCTTCTTCTCGCCCACGGCAGCTGGCGGCGGCAACAACCGTGACAGCGTCCGCGTCCGCGATTCCACGTTTCTTCCTTCTGGCTTCTACGCTGCTGGCACATCTTCGCCCGGCCACGCTCACAGCCAGTCAATAAGCTTGACGAACTTGCGCCCTGACTCCCGTGGTGGATATGGAAACACTTCTCGCAACACGATGAGAGAATCTACGCCTCCTGAGTCTCCTTCTTTCGCTGCGAGACGAGACTTCAGCACCAGCTCCGTCAACTTGGCCGCAGCTCCCGGCAACGGTCAACGAGCACCCAGCGCATACCTCGAGGACCTGCTGGACGAAAATCCCAACGCTTTCCCGCCCAGCGCGCATCGGAACAACAACAACAGCGGTCGGTTGTTTTGAGCGTTTGATTTCTTACGTCGAGGCATCGAGGAGCAATTCTCATTGCGTCATATGAAAATGGCGATATTCACGGCTTGGGGTTATGGGAGGCACAAATACGGCGTCATGGATTACTCTTGGTTTAAGAACGGCCTACTTTTGTTCTAATTATCAATATCCTGGCCCTTCAGGGTTAGGTTTTCTACAGTCTGGTGGAAACAGTCAAAAAAGCAAGCTGGTTGCCCCAATCGGGCACTGCGCGCGGGTGGTGTTTTAATCGTTACCAGTTTGTCATTGCATACTCAAAGGGTGCCGGAGCATTAGACTGGGAGTCGTGGCGGTCAGGTCTGCCAACGACGCTTTTGTTTCTTCAATTCTCGCGCCTCGCTAGTACATATTCCCTTTCAATGAGAATCTTATTCAAAGCGTGATAGTTTTCCCATCCCGCCGGGTGTTGCTGTGTATTGTGGCCCACCGACCATCTCCTTGGCAGCGTAACTGACACCACTTCCAATGGCTCAGAGGGCAGGTCGTTGCTCAGACATCGCCAACGTGCATATATACTTCGTCCCAACCGCCGTCGTCCGTGACAACCAAGAAACAAACTCAAGAGCTGGGTAAAGCTTATTGCGGCCGTTTATGTCATCCCAACCTTCTTTTGAACTCATGCTCATCCCGACTTGATCCCGCGTTGAATCCAATTAATTAAACTTTTGGGACTGCTCCGTCCCGGACCTCGCGAAAGCGCAATACCGAACGGACCGAGCCCCCCCAAAAGAGCTCAGCCGTCGTCCACCCACCGACTTCATGCTTCCATAACCGTTGTTTCTCCTGTGACACGACGTTCGTGACCTCGACTTAACGCGCGTGCTCACCTCACCGCTTGTTCTTCAATGTTTCTCAGGAACAGAGAAAAGTTTTGCTGGCGGTATGTTTGTCGGTTAAGTTGGCCGAGTGCAGCAGACTTACACGGCATATGCCCGACAACGATTCTCGCCGTTCTTCTTTTCTCACCATCGCTGACACCCGCCGGATCTCTGTGACACGCCCGCTCCCTGTGCGACGTCGATTCGACATACCGGGCGGGCGTATGACGGATACACATGCGCGTTGCTGACGTCGTGGTTCGTGAAGCATGTTTCTGAGCAAGGGCATGTCGGTTTTTTTCTGTCTCTATCCGAGACAGCGTCTGCGAGCAAAGGTAGGTTAGAGGTACACAAGAACGATGCATCTTCGGATCTTAGCGAGACTTTTTGGGCGCATTGCGGTTTTGCTGAGTTTTTGTCTTTCTATTTTGTATAACATTACGGGCAGCAGGGCGGTATGTCCCCGTCCGAGGCGTGTGGCCTGGGGGTTCTTTGGGTATGAAACTATGCTGCTCACTAACAAGAGAAAGTGAGAAAGAAAAAACGCCATATATTCCCATGATTACCTACTTGTTTTGTGTTCTTCGGTCCCCCCTTTTTTGTCTTGTTTGCAGAAGATCTTTCGCACGGCAAATGGTCTCTTCAAATCTGGCGACTCGACTCGCCCGCCTGGTCCTTGGACCCCATCTCCTCGCTCGCGCCGCGGATGTCCTCAAGTCTGATGCCGCTGCGGTCGCACATGCCTCTAAAGATGCCACCCTCGCGTTGCCACAGCGCCAGCGGGGTGTCGAGCTCGGCGATGCGACCTGCGTCCATGACGCAGATGCGGTCGTAGCCAATGATCGTGCGCAGACGATGCGCGATGCAGAGGAGCGTCCTGCCGCGGAAGGATGTGGCGATGGTGTTCTGGATCTTGTCGTCCGTCTCCATGTCAACCGACGACGTCGCTTCATCGCAGACGATGATGCGGCTGCCGCGGACGAGGGCGCGCGCGAGAGCCATGAGCTGGCGCTGGCCGAGGGAGAAGTTGAGGCCGTCCTCCTCGACGACGGAGTCGAGATGAATCCGGGCCGGGTCCTTGGAGCGCGGATCGCCGAGGTTCGCACCCGCCGGGACGAGGTCTGCTTGACGAAGTGCGGACCAGAGCTCGAGGTCGGTGTGCTCGCTGAAGGGGTCGAGATTGGAGCGGACGGTGCCGCGGAACAGCGTCGGGTCCTGGGGAATGATGGCGAGGCGGGAACGGAGGTCGTGGAGGCCGATGGTGGAGATGTCGACGCCATCGATGGTGATGTGACCCCCTGAAAGCTCGACGAGGCGGAAGAGGGTCGACATAATGGAGGACTTGCCTGCGCCGGTACGGCCGACGATGCCGATGCGCTCGCCGCCCCGGACGTGGATCGACAGGCCCGACAGGACAAGGGGGAGGTTGGCGCGGTAGCGCATTTCGACATTATCGAAGACGATCTCACCCTTCTCTGGCCATGACGGACGCACTTCGATGGTGTGAAGTGGCGCCTCCTCTTCAAGCTGGGTGCCATAGTATTGGATGCGCTCGACGGCGTTCATGCCGTTTTCAACTTCAGCGAGCTGGCGGACAGTGAACTGAATCATCTGCACAATGCCCAGGATGTAGCTGAGCACGAGGCCTCCGATACTTGGCGGCACGCTGAAGCGGGATGTCACGACGAGGATGCCGACGGTGAAGACGAGAAGGTTGCCGATGAGATCGAGGCGGGTCGAAAGCCAACGTTGGTTGGAAAACGTGAGATAGTACGCCGCGTTCATCTCGTCAATCGACTTGCGTAGGTCGGCGATGAAGTGGGATTTGAGGCCGTATGCTCGAATGCTGGCTACACCACTCAGACCCTCGCCGAACTTGGCGAACACAGTTGAGCGGAGGACCGACTCGAACCGTTTGACCTCGCGCGCCGATGCACGATAGTAGGAAGCGGCGAGGATAAAGAAGACGAAGAGAGGTCCGAGAGCGATGGCAAAATAGTGGAAGAAGGCGATGATGAGGGCAAAAACGGATATGATCATGGCCAGCGTGAAGAAGTACATTCTCATGGCATCCGTGAGGTTGTTGTCCATTACGTCCACATCCCTCGAAAACCGGTTCGTGATGCGGCCAAGCGGAGTGGTATCAAAAAACGACATCGGCGCGCGAAGGACCCTGGTGACTGCCTGACGAAGCATGACTCTGCTCGAGTTCGTGCCCAGGATGGATAGGAGCAGGGAGAAGATAAACATCAGCAAGGCCTGGACCGCACCAAGGCCGGCATACACGCCGATATACTGTGCGTCCGAGAGCGGGTACTTCTTGCTGGTCCAGTACGACAACCACAAACTCGTCATAAGGTTGGCACCCTGCGAGAGGAGCAACAAGAAGACCAGGAAGGGGGCGTTGAGAATGCTTCCGGAAGCGCGGATGTAGTCGGTGTACACCTTCCAGGGAACGCTCGACACTGCTCGCTCTTCTTGCTGCATGAGCGCAGCACCCTTCTTGTTCTTCTTCTTATCGGCTGCGGGGGCCTCGGTCAAGTTGGTGGGCGGGGCATCGTCCTCCTTCTCCTCAACGGCGGTCGTCTCCAGTAGTTGCTGGAACCCACGGTGATCCCTCATCAGATTGTCAAACGTATCGATAGCCTGGATCTTGCCACCCTCCATCCAGATGACCCTGTCACATCGGTTTAGAACCCACAGCTGATGAGTCGCCAGGACTCTGCATTTGCCCTTCAGGAGACCAAGAATAGCATTGTCGAAGATGTGACGTCCAACATGCGCGTCGACGGCCGACAAAGGGTCGTCCATCAGCACGACATCCGCATCGAAGTAGATGGCTCTGGCGATGTTGAGACGCTGCTTTTGACCACCAGAAATGGTAATGCCTCTTTCACCGATTTCAGTCAGATCGCCGTTGGGAAGCATGGCCATATCAGGTCGAAGGGCACACCTGAGGAATGTCAGTATGGATCCCGATCCTCGAGAATGAGGGTTACTCACGCGTTGATGACCTCTTGGTACCAGGCCTTGTCCATATCTTTGCCAAAGAGGATGTTATCCCGAACCGAGGCGTTCTGGATCCAAGCATATTGAGGACAGAAAGCCCTAGACGCACCAAGCACGACCTCGCCGGATGTCTTTCTCATGTCGCCTGCAAGTGCAGCTAGCAGCGAGGTCTTTCCGCTCCCGACGGAACCGATAACTGCTACCAGCTCATCTCTCTTGATCTCAAAATTGAGGTCCTGCAGCTTGAAGGGTTCGCGTTCTTCCTCCACAAGTGTGCTGGCGCCATCTCCAGTGCTATCCCCAGAGGAAGTGACCGGCTCTTCGGTCTTCTTTGCCGCTGCGGGCTGAGCAGGTGCCTTCTTTCCCCCCTTTCCGCCTATAGTCTTCTCCGATTCTTGCGTCGGCGTTCGCTCCCAGGTAAAGCCGCCATTGTGCATCTCCAATGCGTTTTCCCCCTCTGGCTTGTAAACCACTTCCTCCTCTTGTTCTTCAGCCAGCAGAAACTCTTGGATACGCTTTAGGGATGACCAGGCATCGACGACCTGGCCGAGAACCAGAGGAAGCAGGTTCAGTGGGATACGAAGGCCATTGAACAACGCAAGGGACGAAAAGACCTCGGCCGGGTTGAGTGCGTTATTGGTCTTTGCATACGTGATGAAGGAGAGCATGGAGGCGAAGATAGGCAGCGACAAACTGACAGCATTGATGGCGTTTCGGATGGCCAGCAAGATCTGGATGGCGTGGATTTCTCTGCTTCGAATCTCCTTCAGGCGTTCGAGAAACGCGCTCTCCCAGCCAAAGTATTTCACAAACCGGACTGACTGCAGAATCTCCTGTGTCAAGCTGACTCGCTGGTCGGTGGTCTTGTTGATGGCCTTTCGCCGTTTGAACAAGCTTCTGATGGATCTGGTCAGCAGCGGAATGCCAGCGACGAGGAGCGCAAATCCAGCAAGTGCGCTGTAGCTCAAGTTGATGCACAGGACAACCAATGTGATGACGCAGGAGATAGGGGCAGTCCAGGTAAGATGGAACAGAGCGCAGGCTTGGTCGATGCGGTACGTGTCGACGCTCATGAGGTTGACAATTCGTCCGTTACCCCAGCCGGTGCCGTCGCCCGAGATGGCAGGCCCTTTGGCGTCTCCCTTCTTTCCCTTCTTCTCCTTTTTCTTTCCCTTGTCGTCAGTCTGTGATTTGGCACCCTCTTTCAGGCCGCCGGCCTTGGCACGACCAGACAGCGACATGGACTTTTCAAAAATGGCGCTGATGAGAACGGCTCTGGATTGTCCACCGATCATCATACCACGGTAGATGAAATGATTCGTTCCCAGACTCTGCAGAATCTGCATCACGGTAACACCAAGAACCAAACCGATACCTTTGCCTATGGCTGGGGGTGGCTGTCCTTGGTTTGCAGCATCCCAAGCGTCGTTGGCGAATTGGATCAGATACCGCAGCGTAAAAGGTGACATGACCTGGAAGATGGTGGACATCAGCTGGAGAAAGCCTCCGAGCCAAAACTCGAAGAAGTAAGTTTCATGCAAGGCCCATAGCAAAGGGTACTTGTCTCCTTTGTCGACGCGTTTTTGGAAGGCAGCCTTCAGCTTGTCAGTCATGACATCTGCGGCTCTGTCCGGGTTGACGGTCCAGATGTCATTGGGTTCAAGCTGTCGCTTGTACCCTGTCTGTTGAGATGTCAGAACTTTTCTTTTCGGGTTAATTGCAGCGTTGTACGTTTCAACGTCTCAAGCTGATGGTGAGCTGTCATGTTCACTCACACTCATCAATGGTGCCATCCACTGAAAGGTCAGTTGGCTGAAGAAGCCGGCCTTGTGTTCTCTGGATACGATTCTCTCCTCTGGAACTGGGGGGACACCGCCCCATCTTAGTGGATTTGGCGTCTTGTACCATGGCTTGCTCTCAGGTTGTCGGTTTGCGGTCGTGGTAGCAACACTCGTGTCAGTGGCATGGCTTTTTGTCGCTTTCAGCTCTGGCCTTGCAGTCTTCTCATCGACATCGGAACTTTCATTCTTCTCGTCAGTGCCATCAATGTCGATGACATAGGCGGCATCTTCGGGCTCCTTGGGAGTGATGGGCTCAACAGCAGCGGCTTGTGGGTCGGGTGCCGTTATGTTGGTTTTCTCCTCCTTGTCTGCCATCCTCTGGCAACCGTTCTGGGGAAGTCTTGGCTGGGTCTGTGTGCTTCGCCCTTGGCAAGCAGTGTTCAAACGGCGGCAGCTGTTATATTTATGTGGGTAAAGCCAGCCCGTTGTTGGACGGGACTGAGAGAAACAGCAGATGCAGCGCAGCAGGCTAAGGTTTTAGTGTGCGGCCGGGGATAGAAATCATATGTCCGTCACTCGGGAAGAAAGGATTGGTACGGAATCATCAAAGATGTGTCCCTGGTTCCACTTGGTAAAAACGAGGGCAAACTGTCGAAACCCGGTCTGGGTGGTGTCGAACTCCGAAGGGGTTGGGGTAGAGACGTGGAATTGTGGACAATGGAAGGAAGGATGGATGGAGTGGTGACAACACGGGAGAAGATAACGAGAGGAAGCGAGGAAGAGTCAGAGATATGGACGACTACGTCAGCTAAGGGTGAAAAGGAACTGTACGTGTAATGATGAAGACCGTATGCAGATGAAAGTGGGTGTGGGCAAGAATGAACCGCGAGTAGAGTGCATGACAGGCAGATAGCTGCGCAGTCTGGACTCTGGACAATGTACTTTTTATTGTTCGCCTTATTCTCCGCAGGGGATTTGAGCAGCGGGTTGTGGAGGAAGGGCAGGCACAGTGACTTCTAGTCGGCGAAGGCCGACCCAGCAACCCGACTTGCAGAGAGCATCGAGGAGTGAAGGCGGGAGGGCGAACTGGGCCACCGTCCACCGTTCAGCAGCGGCCATTCTCGATGCATGGGGTGCTGGGATTGCATTGGCCTGGAGTCCTGGCCTGGTTCCGGGAGGTGGAAGGGGGAAAACGATGGGGACACAGACGAAACGGGATAGGATGGGACAGCACGAGACAGGGGTGCCACGAAATGGCTAGCACGAGGCAAGAAGGTGCCACGACGGCAGCTTGTCTTTCTCTCTGCCTCCTGCAGTTGCAAAGGCATTACCAACCATCGGTGAAAGCGGCCTCTTTTTAGCCGACCCGAAGGTACCTAAGCTGCAGCCCATCGTGCCGAACTAACACCAGCCGTTCGGTAGGAAAGAGCAGCCAAATCTATTGCTACTCTATTTGTTAAGCATAACCAGCCAGCGAGCCCTCTCGTCAACCGCAGATTGAGGACTTCTTCCGCCCCATCGACTTGCCGGACTACCTCCTCGCAACCCGGGCCCACCGGACAATTCGTCGTTTACCTTGTCCAAAACACGTATTCCACTACGACGGTTGCAAATTCTGATGGGCGCCACGTCTTCTGGGTCTGCAACAGAAACATCAATACAACGGCCTCGGGATTCCCCCAATTAAGCTGACAAAGCCGGTGGTAGTCCAGCTACACCTCAGACCTGCTCCTGTTTCGATGACTTGCCAATTGGGCATCTTCGGCGCGATTGACTTGTCGACTTTCTTCCCAGTTGTCGCTATTATGCCAAGCTGGGTTGTCGGTTCTGACATCCATCGCCGCAGGAACAGAGATATTTGAACAGTCAGCGCACCCAGCATCAGACGAACGCTCAACCTCAATCATGTCTACTCATGGACCTGTGTTGCGACGAGTACAGTGGCGACCTCGTGTCCCAGTCAGATCAAGAAGCACGACTCGAGATCAAACAGGAGCCCCATAAGATGGACACCACGTTTCTTGGAAATCTACAGAGTGCAATTGTTCCACTTATAATAATCGCCGTCGAGTACGCCTCAAAGCGAGACGGAAGTCGATCGTAGGCCAGCAGAGATGAACCCTTCCATAGAGCCTGGTGTCCTCTGCGGTCCAAGCTGCCCTCAGGGACTGCTGCCAGGGCCGGCAAAGACCTTGCCGGCCGCCAGGATGCAGCGCCCATCCCTGGGACCAACCACCCTCGTGGAAAGATCGTTGGCGCACACTCGTCCACTGCAGCGGACGGATCCATGATTCATCAAACACCCTCGGAGGGACCAAAGAAAAAAAAAATTGCAGAAGACATCCACCAGTTGCCAGGCACGAAAGGCTACCAGGGCTGTCGTTCACGGACTCGTTCTGCGTTGGGTCCAATCATCAACAATTACACGCGCGTCTTTTCCGTCTGGACATTCATCCGAAGGCGCATTCACTGTCTGAAGCAAGGTTCTTCCTGTGGGGATCCGTTAATTAGCCATAGCCAGAATGATAATTAGCCATAGTGGGTCCCACCCAACCCAATCTAACCAACTAGAGGCGCTTATTTGATAACAGATAAGGGATTTTCTTATTAATATAACGTTTTTTTTTAACCGCTATAGTGTATATATTAACGCTTATATTAAATTAACTACTTCTACTACTATACTACCCTTTTAATAACATTAACTACCTCTCACTACTATAACGCTAAGACTACTAATTATATTAGAGATCTCTTACCTCTTATAAATAATGCTAATAATACCTATAATACCTTATTTAACTTAGCCTTAGAAGTAGGTTACTACCTTTAAAAAAAATATATTTATAGGGTTAATAAGTATAAAGTATATAATAAGAATAGCGCTATCTTATATATTAATATTCTCTATAGCTACACCTCCTCTATATATAAATAATATACTAATTAACGCGCTAGTAAGTTAGTTAAGTATAACTACTTATAGTATATTAAGATTATCTATTATAAGGCTTTTAACTAATATAAGACTATTATAGTTAATAGTTAGTATAACTATAATAGTGTTAATAAGTATTATAAGGTCTTACTATATATATAATAATAATAATAACTTAGTAACCTTAATATTATTAAGTATATTAAAATATTATTAGCTTTAGCCTTACTTACTACTACTTAGATCTATAAGAATATTTATAAAGATTAGTTATAATAAGCTAATAATAATACCCTACCCTACCTTATTACTAACGCTAATATATATAATATATAAGCTACCCTCTACGCTAAGAAGTATAACTTATTCTCCTCTTTTTAGCACTTTTTAAAGACCTTAGAGTTATACGCTATAAATTATAAGATTCTCTATAAAGTAAGTAGGAGTAGTAATAACTATATTAACTATATAATCTAAGCTTATAGTAACTACCTTAATTTATAGCATAAGAACCTTAACATCCTCTTATTTAATAACACTTATAAAACTAATAAGTTTAAGATACCCTTATTATAGATTACTAGCACTACCTACCTCTATATAATATTTAATATTACCTTCAGCCTTATTAGTAATAAGGCTAAAGATAACTTTAAGTAGCTACTTATTATACTATCTCACTAAGCTTATAAATATTAAGTATACTGCTCTATAATTATTCTTAATAATCTTAATAAAGCTTTTAAGTATACTATTAGCCTTATCTACTTAGACGTCTAGCAATAGATCTATATATAGCATATTATAAAAAATATTAACTATTATATATAAATAAAGTAGTATAAGCTTAATAATAAGCTAGATTAATAAGAGGCTACTTAGAGTACTAATTCTAATATAATTAACTTAGATTATATTATTTCTAAGTAGTAGGAGCATAAAGATAATATTAATTATACTATTATGTTTAGACTACTTAACCTTATTATAGCTAACTTTCTCAGAAGTATTCTAACCTTTAATATAATAGTAAAAGTAAATTTACCTACTTATAGCACCTAAATAATACTTATAGCCTTATAAGATAACTTTCCCCTCTCTTATAATAGTATAATTATAGCATAAAAAGCTTATATTTATACCCCTACTAAAGATACTTTTTTTAAAGCCTAAAGTGCTCTCTATAAATATTACTTAGAATAGAAGTATACTATAAACTATATTTTTAAGATATACTTTCCCTATAAAGAGGAGTTTATTAGTTTTATTATTTAGTATTATTAGAACTATAGCTTTATAGTTACTTCCTATATAGAGGAGGCTTATATACTTCTTAAATAGTAGCTATATTATATATTAATAAGCTTTAATACCCTCTATAATTAGATTTAAAAGATAAAGCAAAAGATAATATATATATATACTAAAAAAGCTAAAGCTATATTAATATAAATTATCCTAAAATATAATAAACCTATAATATTACTATTAGTTAAAAAAGTAGGCTTTAAAGCGTTTAACTTAATATATAAGTAATACTTACTTATAGAGGATATTTAATATAAAGAGAAGGATCTACTAACTTATAGTAGCTTATTTATTTAGTAGTATAGCTTACCTTACTACTATATAGTACTTAGCTAGCTTTACTAAGGTAGAACTCTTACTCTAAATAATATAGACCTTTATTAATATCTTTTAGATTACTTTATAAATCTCTCTAGGGAGTATATTTATATAGGAACTAATAGCTATAGCTATTTACGCTAGATATTATAGCTTTATTAGCTAAATAAGACCTTAATATAATATTATATTAATTTAAATCTAAACTATAAATTAAAATAGCTAAAGCTATACTAAGTTAGCTATAGTACTATATTAGCTAAGCTATAAGAGAGACTAAATTAATATAATATAACCTCTCTTATTTTAAAGCCTTAGAGCTACTTAAGAGTTAGCTATATAGTAGAAGTAGAGGTAGAGGTAGAAGTAGAGTAAGAAGTAGTATAAAAGCTAAGAGTAGAAGCTAATCTATAATATAGGCTAAGCTATATAAGATCTATGCTATTAATAAGAAGTTTAATTACTTTAAGGATACTTTTTATATATATATAGCTAGGTAAGCTTTACTAGTATTAGTAGTAAGTAGTATAAATACTATTAACTTATTATTATTACTATTATTACTAATAAGAGGTATATTAATAAGAAGTAGGGTGAGAGGGAGGGCTATAAAGGGTATAGCAGAAAGTATATAGTTTATATATTAGTAACTACTAGCGTAACTAGTAGCACTAGAAGAACGCTAGAGACACTAGATTAATAGTTAATATAGTCCCTATTAACTTTTTTATCAAAAATCTAAAAAACGCTAGATCTCATTAAGTTATATTAATTACTATAATAAAAATTAAAAGCTTCAAAGTTATATAAC